TTTTTTGGTACCATGGATCGAACTCGGGTCCTTCTGCTTGCAAGGCAGGTGGTGGAACCACTGAGCTAAATCCCCGGCCCTAGCTTGTACTATTATAATAAAATTATAAGTGGTTCTTAGCTTTTTATTTTTTTAAAATAAGGCAATACATAAACATAAGAGTAAGTAATTGTAAATTCTTAATTTTTATAGCCAATGAGATCAAATTGTTAGGGTGAGGGTTTAGTTCATCATAGTTCAAGATACATCATGACAAAAAAATACACCTTACCATGGGAAACCTAAATGAGTTATTCTCTGTATCCTGGGATATAGTATACCATTTTATACTGAAGTTCTACCCTTAATACTTTGTGATCTTAAGGATATGGGAAACAGTTCTAAAAGGATCAGAATAGGCCAAAGGAGGGCAGAAATAATTCACTTAGTGTAAGTGCTGGCCTACAGGCTTCCCCTAAAACATTTTATAATCCTCATAACTGAGGTAAGGATACTAACTTGGAGATAACAGAAGACTTGCCCTAAGATCATTGAGCTGGAAAATTATAAAGACTGAACTGGAATTGAAGTGTATGTAACTCTTAAAACCTTAGTTTGTCTGAAGAGATATGGGAGGTGTTTGTACCAGACTAATAAAGTCAAGTCATTTAAAGACCATTAATCTCAGATAGGATTTGTCATTGATAGTTGACTGTTCTGAAATTTATGTTTTAATTTGTTGAGAAATGAGAAATACCTTTATAATTTTGCAATCTTATTTTTGCAGTTTGATAGAAATGGCATTCTTTTGTTCTCTTTATGTGAAAACCACAAACATAATTTTTTTTTTTTTGCCTGATTCTTGCCCCTGGAGTCCTTTGCTTTGAAATCTCTGCATAAGCAATGTAAGCAGTTCTGTTTTATAGTAGCTTTTCAGAGACTTGCTGTGAAGAAAAGGCACAAACAACTGCAGACCTTAGTATTCCCATCTTGTCTCAATCAGTTGTTTCACCTGGAAGTACATGCTAATTTTTAAAGATTTGCCAGTTAAAAATGGCTAGCTTTTTAATTGAGATTAATACTGCGGAGTACAGTACTCAAGATTTAGGGTAAATGTGTAGTTTCCTCATCATCTCCTTTTCTCTTGTGTGGTCTGGATAAATATTTGAACAGATAGCTTGAGTGACTTAAAGAGGGTTGAGTATGTAGCATGGTGGTAGAACACTGTTCAGCATGTGTGAGTCCCTGGGTTCAGTCCCCAGCACCCCACACACAAAGTAAAGAAAAAAAAACTATACTCAAAATTGTTTTCATTTTAGAATTCACCTGTTAATTAGAAGGTTTTGGGGGCTGGAATTTAGCTCAGTGGCATAGCACCTGCCTGGTAAGCACACGGTCCTCAGTTCGATCCCTGGTACCAAAAAAAAAAAGACTGTTTGGCTGGTCTGTTTAATACAATAAGCCTTACATTTTTATTGATTGGGGCTATAATGTATGTCTATGTGATGCAGTTCTGCTCACCTTTTTAGAACCAGATGTAAGTTCAGAGGAATCTATCTCCACTGTAGAAGAACAAGAAAATGAAACCCCACCTGCTACATCTAGTGAGGCAGAACAGCCGAAGGGAGAACCTGAGACTGAAGAGAAGGAAGAAAAACCTTCTGAGGAAACCAAAAAGGAGTAAGGAGTTATACCTTCTGGCTGTTTCCAGTTGAAGACCAAGTAAAAGTAAAAGGAATGTAGATCAGATTGAGCTAAAGTATTGCAGCATTGGTTTATGCTAGGTATTTGCTAGTTGGGTTTACTTTTTAGAATTATCATTTGAAATAGTTTTATGCTTTTTTGTATGGGCTATTGGCATGTGTGGTACTTAGCAGAACAGTGGTTTGGGCAGTCCAAAAGTCTTTTGACTTTGGAGTGTGCTTTTATGCTTATAATTCATTGTCAAAATATCTGGGATTTTAAGCATTGACAAAATCTCAGTAAGAAATGAAACACAAAAATCTGACCTGGAGCCAGGTGTGGTGATGCATGCCTGTAATCCCAGCACTTGGGAGGCTGAGGCAGGAGGATCGCCATGAGTTTGAAGCCAGCCTGGGCTACATAATGAGTTCAAGGCCAGTCTGCACTGCATAGTGAGACTGTCTCAAAAAGCCAAAACTGACCTGGAAGAAAGACCCTTCACCCTTTTATTCTTACCTCTGTTCCAGAGTGGGTTGTTTTTACATGTTATGTTATAAAATACAGATCTGTTTCAAGCTATTGCTAGAGTGACTAATACTCTGTATATGTTTGGTGAAGTTTTCAATTGGAGGTGACTTTGAGCATCTGAAAGCAAAATTTGCAATTGATGATCTGTATTTGTTCAGTGTTACTGTTAGTAATTAATTTTTAATTTTAGTGACCCCCTCGGATAGCTGGTGTTCCATTCTTTTCATAATTGGTCCAGTTAGAAATTATTTTTTAAGTAGAAATAACTATACTTTCTAGGTATAATCCTCAGTGAATCCTTTATTCCAGTTGCATAGATGTACTTAAGATCTGTGGGATTTTGGGTGGCTCCTCTGTATTTTTAAATGTTTTAATGCATCTGAATGGAGTACAGTTGTTACTTAATATAACGCTCCATGGCTCATAATGCTACTAGCATAGTTGCATATTTTTTACAACACCTTATGAAGGGGTTGTTATAGTTGAGGTGACTGAGAAATCATTTGCTAAAATTGTGTATCTAGCTACTAGGTGTTCTAGCTAAATTTCAAACCTAGTGTTCTGACTTCAGAGCTTGAGTTCTTTCTACCATATCAAATTGCATCTATTGTAGTACTGACCAGAATAAATTTTAACATTCTCATTTATTTTGTATACTGGGTCTTCATACAAGTGCTGATTTACGTGATTCCTTTTTCCTACACATAAGAGAAACATTTTTAGGGCCGGGGATTTAGCTCAGTGGTTTCGCCGCCTGCTGCACAAGCGCAACGACCCGAATTCGATCCCTGGTACCAAAAAAAAAAAAGAAACATTTTAATTTCATTTATAGTACCCAGGTGTTTTTTTCCTAACTTTATACAGTCATCCCCTCGGTGTCCAAGGGTCATTGGTTACTGAACTCCTGCAGATAACAAAATTTTTTGATATTCTATTCCTTATATAAAATGGCATAGTATAATATTTGTGTGTAATCTGTGCATGTCCTCTGTAGGCTTGGAAGTCATCCCTGAATTATACATAATACAATGTAAGTGCTTTGTGAACAATTGCTATGCTGTTGTTTAGGGAGTAGTGACAAAAAAATATCTGTACATGTTTGGTACAAATGCAGTTTTTTTCCCAAGTACTTTTAACCCTTGGACACCAAACCCAAAAATGTAGAACTCACAGATACCAAGAGTCAACAGTACCTCTTTATGGAAAGTTTATCTTGCATAATAACAGTTGTTTGTTTTAAAGGGAGAAAGATCATTCTAAGGAAAAGGAGAAGAAAGTGAAAAAAACCATACCTTCCTGGGCTACTCTTTCTGCCAGCCAGCTAGCCAGGGCCCAGAAACAAACACCAATGGCTTCCTCACCACGTCCCAAGATGGATGCAATCCTAACTGAGGCCATTAAGGCAAGTTTTTATTTTAGGCAATTATCTTAGATTTATTATGTTCGTCTTTTGCTTGTTTGAAAATTCTCTGTGCAGATACCAGAAATCTTGTGTTGCTTCTTAAAGGAAATTTAAAAGAAGTCCTATGAGGTACATGTTTATCTAATCCAGTTACATTTGGTTACCAGTATTGTTTTTAAAAACTCATATTCACTATAATAAGATTTTATTTTAATTTTTATTAGGGGCCAGGAATTTAGCTCAGTGGCACCATGCCTGTCTCGCAAGGACAAGGTCCTCAGTTCAATCCCCGGTACCAAAAAAATTTTTTTATAGTACATGATTCCAGTACATAATGATTAATTTCATCATGAGGAATTGGTACATGTACATAACATATCTTAATTCTTTTTTACTTCTTCCCTTGCCTCCCTCCATCTCTTGGTTCCCTTTCCATTTGTAAAAGGCCTAGCTCCCTGTTTTCTATTATCTATCAACTCGACTGATTACAAAGTTTTTACTTGAAGGCTGAAAATGTTCATTTAACAAACATTTAACACTTATTTCAGAATAAAAACTAAAAATGTCTGGGGCATAGTTCATTGCAGACTCTGGGTTCCCCACCCAGTACCAGAGGATGGAGAGACCTTTCTTAAAGTTGGGCATAGTGATATGCACTTGTAATCTAAATTACTGAGAGGCTGAGTGACAACAAAACCCAGTGGGTGTGGTGGCACATTACTATAATCCCAGCACTCTGGGAGGCTGAGACAAAAGGATCACAAGTTTGAGCCCAGCCTGGGCAGTTTTAGTGAGATGCTGTCTCAGTTTTAAAAAGGGCTGGTTAGAGTAGCTCAATGTGAAAACCTTAAGTTCCCCAGTGCCACAAAAAACAAACTTTGTCTAGATAGCTTGGCTGTAATGAGGTCTCTGTTCTTTGTATAACCTTTCTTCAAGGATTTTTCACGTCCGTTCAGCCTAGGTTTGAAGGACCAGGGTTATAGTGAGTATGAAGAAGGGTCTTAAAATTTAAAACAGTAGAACAAAAACTTAGAGCAATAAAAGTTTGGCCTGTACTGAATAATGACTATATGTATTTGTACAAATCATGTGATTATAAAATGTAATAATGTTTCATGCACTATTAACAAACTATGACTTTTTTAGACCACTAATAACCATTTTTTATATGAAAGAGAAGTCCTGATGTCCATTTCCATCTCATTACCAGTTTGGTTGAGCAAAGGATTGCTTGATTTTGCTTTCCTTTGTGTTTTCTCAGGATCAGAAATAAACTTCAGTATGTTGAGTAGCTCAGAGACATTTACTTATATTAGGTGATCTCTATTAACACAACTTGTTTTATGTTGTACATTCTTTTCTGGTCCATCTGCCTATGAGTTACTATATTTCCTTGTCTGCATATGTAAAGTGACATAAAAGGGAGTATGTTCAGTTCATAGACAGTAGCAACCCAAAATTTATGGACTAGCCCTTTAGGTAAATAGCAGATACTACTTCTGTGTGCTTCAAAATTTAAAACATTTGAAAAAAATTAAACATTTGCTGCCCTTGTGGCATAATGAGATACTTAATTCTCCCCTGGCCTTTGGACAAATGGAGTAGAATACCTTATTTCTCAAAACTCCTCTTAAAACTGCCATCTATAAACATAGTTTTGTTTAGAGTTACTTATGCTTCCTTTCTACTGATATTCATAGTCTGCAGAGAAATATTGGTCCTAGTGCAATAAAATTCATTCCTTGAAATGGATCAGACTTGTAATCCTCTAAATGATGGAAAAGTTCTGCTCTCATTTTAATGCAGAAGATCTATCTTCTAAATATAAAATAGAATTAAAATGGAAAGACATTCTTAGTTGAATGTTAATGTGTTTTTGAACAATTTAAAATTGTTGCCAAAGTTTTTTTTAACTTACTTTTCTTAGTACGTTTGTAGTATTTAATAATTACATTCATTGTGGGGAATTGGTACATGTACATAATACATCGTAATGCTTTTTGTGTCTCCTTTCCCTGTCCTCCCTCCCAACTCCTTTCATCTCTTGGTCTCTTCCCATTTGCAGAAGCCCTGCCTCCTAGTTCCAATTATCTCTCTTTTATTTTGCTCTTTGTTTATATTTTGGGTTTTTCATAAAGAGAAACCATTCAATTTCTAAGCTTGTGTGTCTGATTTATTTCACCTAAAATTATGGCCTCAGGGTGCATCTATTTTCCTACAAATGACTCAAGTTTATCTTTTATAGCAGAGTAGTACTCCATTGTGTAGAAATATTTTATAATTATGTATTTCTTTATACCTATTGTGAACTGATGTTATCTGAAGTGCTATTCATTCTTTCCTGCCATTTTTATCATTTGTTGTCAAGTTCACTTTGAAAATATTTTATTTTGAAAATGTGTCGTTTTCTAATAAAAAATAGTGTGTGGGGCCAGGGATTTAGCTCAGTGGTTCCGCCCCCTGCCTCACAAGCAAAAGGACCCAAGTTCGATCCCCGGTACCAAAAGAAAAAAAAAAGAAAAGAAAAAAATAGTGTATGTGGTTTGATAATTTTCTAGGCATGCTTCCAGAAGAGTGGTGCATCAGTGGTTGCTATTCGAAAATACATCATCCATAAGTATCCTTCTTTGGAGTTGGAGAGAAGGGGTTATCTCCTTAAACAAGCACTGAAAAGAGAATTAAATAGAGGAGTCATCAAACAGGTAATATTTATTGTTGAAATTGAGATTACTTCCACCTGGGGATAAGCTAGCTGTAGAGCATGTGCCTAGTATTCTTGCTTAGGTTTTATACCCAGCAGTGTGTGTGTGGGGGGGGGAACAGAAATAAGATTATTTTGTGTATCAACTGTACTAAGTCTATATTTAGAACACTTATTTAACCCAATATGACAATAGCATTCTTCTTCAGTTTTGCGGTTTTGCAAACAAAAGCTTAGAGGGAGCTTGGCATGATGGTACATCCCTGTAATCCCAGCATTCAGGAGGAGGCTGAGACAAGAGGATCACTACAAGGTCAAGGCAAACCTGGTCTACGTAGTGAATTCAAGGCCAGCCTGAACCACATAACAAGACCCTATCTCAAAACAAAACAAAAACCTCAAAGGGTTACGATTATCCATTATTGAAGAGCTAAAGTGGCACCATAATTAGGAAGGATTTCATCCCAAGTCTTTTGATTCTTCTTCCATTGTTTTCTCTCTGAAGAGTTAAATGGCACTTTTATGAGCTCTATCATTGTGACCTATAATTCTTTTAGTCTAATGTAATGTTACAAGTGTAAATGCTGGAATAATTTTCTTTATTTTTTTCTTTGTTTGTTTTTTGGTACCGGGGATCGAACTCCGGTCCTTGCACTTGCAAGGCAGGCAGTGGTATTGGAATAATTTTAAATAAAACTTAATTTAATTTAGGTAAAAGGAAAAGGTGCATCTGGAAGTTTTGTTGTGGTCCAGAAATCAAGAAAAACATCTCAGAAATCCAGAAACAGAAAGGTAAGATGTCTATACCAGAGTTTGAGTACTAAAATACTATTGCTCTTAAAGATAGCAGCATTTATTAAGTTCTTACTGTGTGGTTGCCACTATGCAAAGTGCAGCCTTTCTAGTAAGGTCTAGAGAGGTTGTAAGTAATTTGCCCAGCTAGTATGTAGAATGGCCAGGGTGCAGATCCAAACAGTCCAACCCAGTTAAGTCCATGGCCTTAAATGCCTTATATTGAATTATTGGCAACTATATGAATTACTCTGTTCTTGGTGAAATATCTTTTAAACTAGAGGAGGTGTACAAGTACACTTTTACTCAACACTAGGTCTAAAACCTCTTCAGAGCCAATTTTTATGTCTCTTTGTAAATATGAGCATCCCCCTCTCCAAGACAATAAATTCATTTATGTAAAGTACTTCTGTAGTAATAAAGTGAAATGCTATTCATCTATGTCAGTAATTAGAATCATGAAAATTCCTCTGTACCTTTGTTTTTATAACTGATGGTTTTTGTGCTATTTTAAAATAAAGCTTCCTAATATTTTGAATTTTTGTGTAGCGGTTTCTGATGCTGCACTTCATTCTTTTTTACTGAAGGCTGAGACTGAATTAAGTCCTTTGAATAAAGTCTATTATTTATGTGTATTATTAACTTTCTCTGTTTGAAATTTTTATCTGAAAGAAATTGCCACATAATTTGCATTTACTTCACTATGGTAATGGTTTATTTGAATTTTGGGGGAAAAAATGAATTTTCCACTTGGCAGTTCATTTGGCGGTCAGCTAAAGAAACTTTTAAGTTACATGTAGAAACATGAACTGAAAGCTCTATAATCTCATGAACTTTTGCTATTACATTTCAGAAGAGGAGCTCTGCAGTGGATCCAGAACCACAAGTAAAATTGGAGGATATCCTCCCACTGGCCTTTACTCGTCTTTGTGAACCTAAAGAAGCTTCCTACAGTCTTATCAGGAAATATGTATCTCAGTATTACCCTAAGCTTAGAGTGGACATCAGGTATTATCCATTGACCTAGATTTTAAAATGTGATTTTAATCCCTTAGCCCCTTTTCCATGAAAAAGGAAATAGATTAAATTGAAACCGTTTTTTAGTGGTTTGTTTTTTTGCTTCATTATGTTTTCCTTTTCATATATGAAGGTTTTTTGTGTTTTGTTTTGTTTTGTTTTTGAGACAGGGTCTCACTATGTAGTTCAGGCTGGCCTCAACCTCACAGTGTTCCTCCTGCCTCAGCCTCCCAAGTACTGGGATTACAGGAGACCATGAAAGTTCTTAAAAACCAAACCACATAATTCTTGTATAAGATCTTTGATAGAGTATAGTTGCCCTGTGGTGACTAATCATTTAGATTGTCATATTTGCTCATATGTGGATTGATGCAGACATTAATTTGTCAGTTTTGAGTGTGTTTGTGGGAGATCTTTGTTGTGACAACCTTTGAAGAACTGTATTTAGTCCAGAGTTCTTTCTGCAGAAGATTATTTAATGCACATTGTCTTGATATAATTTAATACTGGTATTTACTTATATCACTTAGATTCTTTCAGCTCAGAAGTAACATTTTCAGAGTATCACTTAGTGTTGTTTGTTTGCACTGCTAGGGGTTGAACTCAGGGAGTGCTGATCTATATCCCCAGGCTTTTTATTTATTTTAAGACTGGGTCTCACTAAATTGCTCAGGTTAGCCTCAAACTTGCAGTCTTCCAGTCTCAGCCTCCCGAGTAGCTGGGATTACAAGCATATATACCACCATATTCAGCTCCCTTAGTGTTCTTGAGAGTACCCAATTAAAGAGTTAGTGAAAAATTGCAAAAGAAATGGAAATCATAAAAGCAGAAATTTTGAAATTAGTTATGCCATGATATGATAGGGGGCAGACACAACTATGGGTCAGAAATGCACTGTATGATTCATTTAAAGGTGGAAATACATTTCATGTTTAGTTTCCTTCATTTACTTTTTGATGACTAGAGACCATATCCTCCAGTTTTTTCTTTTGCTTTTGTATTTTGAGACAGTCCCACTGTGTTGAGGCTCACCTTGAATTTACTGTGTAACCCAGACTGGCCTGGAACTCGGGGCAGTCCTCCTGCCTCAGCCTTCTAAAGTCCTGGGATTTCAGGCCTGTACCACTAAGCCCAGCTAAACTTTGCCTTTCAATAATGAATTGTCAACCCAAAGATACCAATGAACCTGAAGACCTTTTTCCATGATTTTAAATTTTTTTATTTTTTTTGGTACCAGGGATCAAACTCAGGACCTTGCACTTGTGAGGGAAGTGCCAGAACCACTGAGCTAAAGCCCTGGCCGTCCATGTTTTTTTAATAGTAACACCTCCCCCTCAGCATGTGTACTTTTATCAACCATATTGATTTTGTTTACCTCTGATCACAGTACTGTTAACACTAAAATTCAGTCATACTTGCTTGGGCAAACAAAAGAGCAAGAAAAAGCGTTTTTTAAGAATGGTCAGAGATAGGAATGTGTCTCAGTGGTAGATCACCTGCTTAGCATAGTGTGGTCCTGAGTTTGATTTCTAGCACCACAAAAGTAAAGCACTGCTCAAAATACATATATATAAATATATATATTTGAGTTGGCTATACTTGTTACCTACAATTTCTCCCCTCCTACTTTATCCCCACTGCTTTGCCTGAACTATTTTTTCCTCTTAGCATCAAAGTGACATATATATTGAACATTTCAGTAATGAATTAGTAGTTCTTGTTGCCCTCTCACCAACATTTGGCACACTTGACTCCCCCGTACTTGATGCATTTTCTTCACTTCCCTTTTAGGATACTGTACCTTTCTGATGTCTTACTCCAACCCTACACCTCTCTTTTCTCAGGCTCCTTAGGATTTCTGATTCACCTGAGGTGCCTTCTGCATAGCTTAGGCCTCTTGTATTTTCTGTCCTTACCCACTTGGTAATTCTTTCCACTTATAAAGCTTTAAAGAACCACCTATATACACATATAAATTCACAAATATATAAATCTAGCCCATACTTTTCCTCTAACTCAGTGGTGCATATACAGATATTTGTTCAGCATCACCACTAGGATGTCTAACTTACATGTCAAAAAACCCTTGATTATCATCCCCGTCTTCTGAAAAAGTCTGTGCCTCAATCTTAGTGGCATCATCATCATTCTAGTTGCTCAGACTAAAAATTCTGGCTTTATACTGATGTCTTCTCATATATGTACATCTAATCTATAAGCAGTTATTTTGGCTTTGTTTTTAAAATATATTGTTGCTATCACTTCCACTGCTGCTACTCTTTTCCATTCTTCTATCATCTTTCACATATTAGAACACAAATAGTAACTTCTTCCTGCTTTTTTCTTGCTCTCCTTTAGTATGTTCTTAACATTACAGTACTAATAAGACTTTTTAAAAATATAAGGTCATATCACCTTTATATTCAAATCCTCAGTGGCTTCCCAACCCTCTCACAGTTAAAGACAGACTGTTTAAAACAGCTTGCAAGGGCCGGGGATTTAGCTTCGTGATTTCGCCACTTGCTGCATAAGCACAAGGACCCGAGTTCGATCCCCTGTACTAAAAAAATAAAAAACAGCTTGCAAGGCACTGTACATCTGTTTCTTCTTAACTCTCTCACTGGCCTCAGAGCCTTTACCTTTGTTCTTCCCTTTGCCTGAACCCCCTCCACGCACACATCGTCCACTTTCGTTTTGTTTTGTTTTGTTTTGTTTTTTGCTTTTTTGGTACTGGGGATCAAACTCGGGTCCTTGCGCTTGCGCAGCAGGTGGCGAAACCACTGAGCTAAATCCGCAGCCTACTTTCTTTACCTCAAATTTTTACTCTGATGTCGTCACTATAGGCTTGCCCTGATTGCTTTATTATTGTTTTGTTTTGTAAACAGAAATTTGTTTTTCACAGTTCTGGAGACTAGAGGTCTGAGATCAGGGTGTCATCGAGGTTGGGTTCTGTTTTCTTGTATCTTCACATGGTGGAAAGAGTTCTTATACCAGTGATGCTAAACCTTTCACAGTTTTCAGTGATTACAAATAGCTGATTATGGCGCACGTATCATAGGTTTGGCACTGCTGCCTTATTACCCACCCACCCCCCCTCCCTGTAGTGGGGATTGAACCTGGGGCCTCAAACATGCTAGGCAAGCCCTCTTTTTTTTTTTTTTTTTTTTTTTTTTGGTACTGGGAATCGCCCTTGTGCTTGCGAGGCTGGCAGCGGTACCACCTAGCTAAATTCCCAGCCCTAGACAAGCCCTCTACCACGGAGTTCCATCCCTGTCCCTTACTTTGTTTGAGACAGAGTCTTGCTAAGTTGCCCAGACTTTGTAGTTATTCTGCCTCAGCTTCCTGAGTAGCTGGGATTGCATGCATTTGCCACTATGCCTGTCCATTACTACTTCTTAGAGGTTCAGTTTTGGAAGCGCTCAAATATATACAAAAAAGTCAGACAACCATCATTCCTAACAAAATAATTCTTTCCATCTAAAATCCAGTCCATGTTTAGATGTACTTAGGTGTCTGGAATGAATCTTTATAATTGTTTTGTTTTGTTTTTTTCAAGTCAGTTTTCTGACTTGACACATTACATTTGACTGATCTGACCAATCAAAACCTTTCTCCAGCCTGGACCACATAGAGACTGTGTTCATCCTTTGATTATGCAGGCCAGTCACTGTTGTGGTCCAGTGGTAATAAATAATGGGTTTTTGGAATGCCTTGGGAGTTTAAAAACTGGTTCTGTATATACAGGTAATGACTTAGCGGCTTTGCTTGGAAAAATAAAAGGAATGTTCCTTGTTAAAGATGTTAGCCATTTGGTATTATTTTTTATTCATTTTAATAAATTACTACATATAATAGATCCCAGAACTTTAGATTGGGGAATAAGTTGGACCTATTTCTTTATATTTTTCTTTAATTCATATATTTATCACTTTTTTTTTTTCTTTTTCTGTTTTTCTCTGCAGGCCTCAGCTGCTGAAGAATGCTCTGCAGAGAGCAGTAGAGAGAGGCCAGTTAGAACAAATAACTGGCAAAGGTGCTTCGGGGACATTCCAGGTTAGAGACTAAAAGCTTGATTGTGGACAAGTGATTCTCAAAGTTTTGGGTTTCAAGACCTCCTTTATAATCTAAAGATTTATTGAGGACCCCACAGTGTTTTTGTTTGAGATGCCTCTAAATATTTACTGTATTAGAAATTAAAACAAAAATTTTTAATACTGATTTCATTTAAAAATAACAAAAACTATTGGGCTGGGGATTTAGCTCAGTGGTTCCGCCACTTGCCTCAAAAGCTCAAGGACCCGAGTTCGATCCCCGGTACCAAAAAAATAAAAAATAAAATAAAATAAAAATAACAAAAACTACATGTTTGTATAAATGTTTCCCCAAAAAAATGTTTTAGTTGAGAAGAGGGGCACTTTTTTACATTTTTGCATATGTTTTTAATAGAAGTTGACTATTTCCTCTTCCAATATATTTTGGCCCTTTGAAGAAAATCTAACACAAAATGTGGTTAGAAAAAGATAACTTTTTAAGATTCAGATACTTGAGTCCAGGGATTTAGCTCAGTGGTGCCATGCTTGCCTCACAAGTCCGAGGTCCTGAATTCAATCCCTGGTATCAAAAAAAAAAAGATTCAGATACTTGTGGATAATATTGTTTGATACTACACCAAATCTCAACAAATGGTAGATAGTTTTTTTTTGTTTTTGGGTTTTTTTGGTACCAGGGATTGAACTCAGGACCTTGTGGTTTCAAGGCAGGCATGGTGCCTCTGAGTTAAATCCCTGGCCCCATGGTACATAGATTTTTAACAGCTTTACTGAGGTACAATTTACAAACCATAAGGTATACTTATTCTGAGTTAAATTTTTTTGGTTTTTTTTTTTTTGGTACTGGGGATTGAACTCGGGTCCTTGCCGCTTGCGCAGCAGGCAGCGAAACCACTGAGCTAAATCCCTGGCCTCTGAGTTAAAATTTATAATAGTGAATTTTTGATAAATTTATAGTTATACAGCTGTCACCACAGTTCAGTTTTAGGACATTGCTATTGTCTGAAAAAGATCCCTTATGCCTTGTATGGTTGCATACAACTGTAACGCTAGCTACTTAGGAAGCCAAGGCAGAAGGGTAGCAGGTTCTTGCCAGCCTGGGTAGCTTAGCAAAGACCTCTCCTGTCTCAAAATGAAAAGGGCTCACACAGCATGTAGTTCAGTTCAGTGCTAGAGTGGTTACCCTAGCATGTGTGGGACCTTCTCAAGTACTGATGGGAAGTCCTTTATCAGATAATATAACTTGGAAAGATTTTCTACTATTCTATGGCTTTTTAAATATCTTTTGAGCGCAGACTTAATTCTGTGACTTAATTTTGATGAGGTCTCATAATCAGTTTTTTAAATTGGTGTCGTTGGTCTACTGCCTGACTTGAGATCACAAAAATACACTCATTTGTTTTTTAAGAGTTTTATTATTTCCTTTGAGTTGTGTAGTTTTGGCCTGTGTTCTGTATTGAGTTTTGTTTATGATACGAAGTAAGTTATAATTCATCTTTTTGCATGTAGGTATCCAATTTTCCTGGCACCACTATCTCATTCAATTGTCTTGACACCTTGTCACACATCAGTTTACTATAAAGGTTTAATTCTGTACTCAATTCTGTTCTGTTGGTCTACATGGGAATCCTTAATGTCATCACACCACAGTCTTGTTGACTGTATCTTTATAGTGAGTTTTGAAATTTGGTATTATAAATCCTCTTTTAACTTTTTCGAGAGTTTTTAGATTATTTTCAGTCCTGTGCATTTTTGTGTTAATCTTAAGACCCACATCTTGGGGTAGGGGTAGAATTTTGGTAGAGATTGCATTGAATCTGTAGATCAGTTTGGAGAGAACTGTTATCCTTTACTTTCTGTCAAGTTTTTCTATCCATGAATACCAGACATCTCTTCATTTATGCAATTTCTCTTAGCAATATTTTGTAGTTTTCAGTTTACAGATCTTGAATTTCTTCTGTTAAACTTACTCCTGAATATATTATTCTTCGTGCTGTAATGAATGGAATTGGTTTCTTATTTTCATTTTTAGATTGTCCGGCTAACTTGTAGAAATACAATTGATTTGTCTGTTAATCTTGTATCCTGTGACCTTGATGAACACATTTACTCTAGTTCTGGTAGGGCCTTTTGGTAAATTCCTTAGAATTTTATACATGCATGATAATATTATCTGCCTTTAAAAATGTTTTATTTCTTCCCTTCCAGTCTGGATGTCTTTTACTTCTTTTCCTTGTCTAATTCCTCTAGATAGAACCCCAAGTGCAGTGCAGTGTTCAGTGGGGGTCTGAGTGCAGGTATCTTTGCCTTGTTCTCCATCTTAGAGAGAAAGCTTTTAGTCTTTAACCATTAAGCTACCCTCAGGTTTTTGGTTTTTTAAATTCCTGCAGTACTAGAGATTAAACCTTAGGCCTTTGCTCTGAGCTACATCCTTAGCCCTTTTTTAATATTTTATTTTGAAACAGGGTGTCTGAGTTGTCTAGGCTGGGCTCGAACTCATGATCCTCCTGCCTCAATTTCCCAGAGTGCTGGGATTATAGGCATGAGCCATCATGCCCAGTTTCACTGTAGATTTTTCACAGATGCCTATTATCAGGTTTTGATTTTGAGACAGGGTCTCACTGTGCAGTTCAGGTTGGGCTTGAACACAGTGTTCCTCCTGCCTCACACTCTGGAGTGTTGGAATTACAGGTGTGCACCACTGTCCCCCACTTTATTGTCAGGTTGAGAAAGTTCCCTTCTGTATCACTAGTTTGTTGGGAAATTTTATATTACTGGTTTTTTGAACATTTTTATCATAAATGGCTGTTGGATTTGTGAAATACCTTTCCTCTATTGATATGGTTGTATTTTGGTTTTTTTGTTGTTGCTGTTATTTGTTTTGTTATTTTTGTTTTTTTTCTGTTAATATGATGTTACATTGATTTTTATGGTAATTCCTTGAAAGTTAGTTACCACATGGAACCTGAAACCATATCAGTGAGCTTTTTATACTCTGTTACCTTAAAATTCATTGATTTTTTTTTTTTTTTTTCTGGTACTGGGGATTGAACTCGACTTGCAAGGCAGGTGCCGGAACCACTGAGCTAAATGCCTGGCCCATGTCTTTATCTTTGAGTGGATAATAATAATAATGATGATGATGATGATGATGATGATGTAACTCAGTGCATTGGATATTTTGAAAATAAGGGTTTACTGAATTATGCAAAATTTTCAAATACTATCATTTTATCATACAGTAACAAAATTTCACAACCATTGGTATCAGCCACTGATCTTGTAAGAATTGATGGTTGAGTATTAAGAGGCTATCAGTTTCACAGTGATAGATAGGAAAGTTTTCCAGGATTTAAATTTTCATTGGAAAGACGGACCTTTGCCAGTGGCAACAAATACTATTGTTTTTCTTTTTTTTTGGTACCAGGGATCGAACTCGGGTCCTTCTGCTTGTGAGACAGGCAGCGGAACCACTGAGCTAAATCCCCAGCCCCTACTATTGTTTTTCTTGAAGTGACAAGCTCACTTAATTCATTTTCAAGGTAGTATTTATCTGATCTTCAACTCTGAATAACCATAGTTTATCTATCAGTTCCTTCAAGAAAAAAGGAAATTCCATACAAATGTGGCTAGTTCAGCTCACAACTCAATCACACAGGTGAGTTTCCTTAAGGACACAATCGTACCTCTGTATGTAGCAGATACATTTTCTGCGTCATCCCATTTCATCCCATGAATATTGAAAAGACATGCATTCAGGTTGAGATTTAAAAATAATTGTTACTGCTTCATCAAACACTTTTTTTCCCTTAGTAATGGGGATTGATCCCAAGGACTTCACACCACACTACACCTACAGCCATTTCTATTTTTTATTTTCACACAGAGTCCCTCTGTGTCAAAGTTGCCCAGGCTGAGTTTGAACTTGTGATCATCCTGTGTCAGCCTTCCAGGGTGCTAGGATCACAGGCATGTGCCACCATTCCCACCTTCAGAGGCCTTCTTAAGTAAAACAAATTTCTTCTTTTTTAAAACCATAAGTATGTGACAAAGAAGAAAATACTCAAACATTTTTGTGCCTCTACCTTGATTTGTGGTAGTATGGCAGCAGTTTTGTCAGCACAATAAAAGGTGTGATAGATCACTTGTGTGTTTTATTATTCAAATAGTTTTGACCTTTAGGTCCTCTGAAAATGGTCTTAAGAATCTCCAGGTATTTTTGAACCACTCTTTAAGAACCAGTACCTACATTGTAGAACATATTTTTTCTTTTTCTGTTTTTCTTATCAGTGCTTCTATTTTTTTTTTTGGTACCCGGGATCGAACTTGGGTCCTTGCATTTGAGAAGCAGGTGGTGGAACCACTGAGCTAAATCCCCAGCCCTTATCAATGCTTCTTTTCCTCAGTCTTTCAGCCTTTAAATACACTACATAATTTTCTATTATACGATACTCTACATACTTATCATATTTTTCCTTTGTTATTTTCTTCATAGTATTAAAAAAGTATTTATTATTAACTTTGATTTTTCAGATGCAACAAAAGGAAATATTTTCCAAAGAATCTTAGTTTATTGGGGGTTTAGCAAGTTAACCTACTCATTGGAGTGGAACTGTCCATATCTTTTGAATTAGTTTCGCTGTTATTTTAAGGTAGACAGAGGAATAGATGGAAGGAGAAAATAATCCTTTAGAGGGTTGAGACTCCTCAGTTAGATTGACTACCTGATGAGTGAAAAGAGAAAGTCCCTAACCTGACAATTTATTGTAAAACGTATCTGTGCTAATGCAGGAACTCCGACCCACCTGGTGCAGAGGAGTCTTGTCTTGAGCTGCATTGGGAGTGTTGTCTTGATGCTTTTCTCTTCCTCCTTGGAAAACAGCTGAAGAAGTCAGGGGAAAAACCCCTGCTTGGTGGAAGCCCAATGGAATATGCAATCTTGTCTGCCATTGCTGCCATGAATGAGCCGAAGACCTGCTCCACCACTGCTCTGAAGAAGTATGTCCTGGAGAACCACCCAGGGACCAATTCTAATTATCAAAGTAAGAGTCAGAGCTGTGTACATTTAACCCTGGTTAGAGGAATTTTCTTATGAGGATACTTTAGAGATCATGCTACTGATATCAAACCATTAACTACTGTATGAAAACCAAAAGAATAGCTTTACAGACTTGCCATTTAAAAAAAGAAAAGCTAGGTATAAGGGCACATGCCTATAACCCCAGCCCTCTGGAAGGCTGAAGCAGTAGGATTGCAAGTTTAAGCTGGGGCAACTTAGGCCCTGTGTCAAAAAAATAAAAGAGAATATAGTTCAGTGTGCAAAGGTCCCAGGTTCAATCCCCAGTGCCACAAAAAAAGAAGTCAAGCTTTATCCATAATTTACAGTGACTACTGATCGGAAATTGATTTTATTTTGCTCCAAAGATTTTTTTCTGATACTTGTCTTTACTGTAATTTAGGTAATTCTCTTAAATTCAGAACACCTCTCAATTATAGTGAATTTTTGCCTATTTCTGAATAGTTACTAAAATACATAAATTTCACCTTGACACCAACCCAGGGTTTTAGAATACTTACTACTTAGATTATTTCTTACTGACTTAGCCCTATAACAGAATATTCTGTTTCAGTAGTCTTTACCTTAGGAAGTAGTGATTTGGGATTAGATGCCTAAGTCTATAGATACTTAACAGCATTTTCACATACACTGTTGGTTGATGAGATGGAGAACTTCTCAGTGAACTGCCACACAAGAATATAGGATGAGGAATTTGGAAACAGTAATAGAAACTACAAACCAGAATAAATTAGTTTGAATTTTAAAAATTTTGAAGTCTTAATACTGACTTAACATATGAATATGTATTTTTTTCATGTTACCTAGGAATGCTTTGTTTTCCTATCTACTTTGAGAACTTGTATTTTTATCTTTTCCCTACTATATTAAAGATATATGTTGTATTTATTTGTACCTCTTACTCCTTGTAGGCTATTTGTGATTCTCTCTTTTGGTCAAATGTGAGTTGTTTTTTTGTTTGTTTTGTTTTTGGTTTTTTTGAGACAAAGTCTTGCTATGTAATTCAGGCTGACCTTAAACTCATCACATATGTAGCCCAGGCTGGATTGGAGCTACAGTGATTCTCCTGCCTCAGCCTCCCGAGTGCTGGGATTACAGGTGTGTGCCACCACGCCTGGCTGGCCAAATGTTTTAGAAGGTGCATTTAATTACTAACCTCTTCAGTGTCACTGATTTTGCAGCTGTATTTGGACATTAAATCATCATATGTTTGTCCTATCTTTTTGTACGAAAGATAAGATTGGTGAAGCCCTAAGGAGCCATGATACTGTTCTGTTGTTGTTTGCTAATTTATGAGGCATTTTTCTTCATCTTTATAGATAATTCTCCTAGATGATAATCAGTACCAGTATTGTGTACGAATAAGTACACAGTGGATGTTTGAATGAATGGAAAACATGTAATATTTTACTTTAGGTCTCCTCTTGACCATTTTTGTGCTACCTTAGGACTAGTCACTTGATCCCTCTGGGGTCAAGTCTTTTATTTATTTATTTATTTTTGATATGGGGAATCAAACTCAGGGCCTCGTCCTTGCCAGGCAGGTGCTCCACTGAGCTCCATCCCTGGTCCAAGTCTTCTTTTTTTTTTAATTACTCTATAGACTCCTATTTCTTTTTCTGTGAATAATTTTGCCAAATTTATGGGCACTGAATAAATGTTTAGTGAACTAAATTCATACTTTTGATCACACAATTCCCTTAACACATGTCAGCTACTGTATGTGCTAGGAAATTAAATTAATGGACATGTAATTGTTGTTGAATTACCAAATCTGAATAACTAGATAACTGTTTTCATTCCTAAATTTTTTGTTCAGTGCATTTGCTGAAGAAAACTCTGCAGAAATGTGAAAAGAATGGGTGGATGGAGCAGATCTCTGGTAAAGGATTCAGTGGCACCTTCCAACTCTGTTTTCCCTATTACCCAAGGTGAGCACTTAACCCCAAATGAAGCATTGGTCATTATAAATTGAACATCTGCTGGACACGTTGTTGCATGCCTGTAATCCCAGTGCTTGGGAGCCAGAGGCAGGAGGATTGTCTCAAGTTCAAGGCCAGCCTGGGCTGCAGAGTGAGTTCAGGGCCAGCCTGGACTACATAGTGAGACCCTGTGTCAAAAAAAATTTTTTTTTAATCTGACTCTGAGTTACAGGGTTCGTTTAATTTATTTTATCCTCGTTACTGTATACTGAACTGGAAATAATTTGAACATAAAGACCTCAAGCAGTATTTAGAGTAAAAAAGTTCCCACATAAGCACAGGGAAGTTTTTGTTTTCCTACTAGAGCTTATTATTATGAACCAACTATTGCTGAAACCAACCACTGGATTCTTCGAGATCTTTGGATAATTGTTTCAGTGTTCATTCTTTATATATTTTTTTTTCTTTCTTTATATTTTTTAATTATAATGATAGAAGACTTTCAAGAGAATTACGTGTAAGTCATAACTGTCCAGTAACAAGTGGCAAGAATGTTGACTGCTTTCAAGAATCCTAATGGCTGGGGATGTAGCTCAGCAGCACAGCATCTACCAGCCAGGCGTGAGGTCCTAAGTTTGATTCCTGGTACCCCCCCAAAAAAAGAACCGTAATTCTGCCTTCATACTTTAGAGACAGGGACATTTATTTGGTACAGGGGATTGAACTTGGTACCTTGTGCTTGTGAGGCAGGTGGGAGGGACATTTATTTGAAAACCTGTCTTTTGTACATAATTTATTTATTTATTACAACAAAAAGATGTAGGAAACACCTCTTCTTGGCCATGCACTGTGTTGTGCACTGATGCTGTTCTCTTACGCATTCACTCCTGCTAAAGTGCTATGGCCTGTACCACTTAAGACCCTATTTTAGCAACGCTACAATGTAACTTTCTTATATTATTCGTGTATAAAAATGTTACTTGAGGGCCGGGATTTAGCTCAGTGGTTCCGCCGCCTGCCTCGCAAGCACAAGGTCCCAAGTTCAATCCCTGGTACCAAAAAAAAAAAAAAAAGTTACTTGATACTTGATTGAGTGAATACTTTAATTTTGCAAACATTAAGCTTTCTTCTCTCTCTCTCTCTTCTTTTTTTTGGGGGGGTGGGGTGTTAGTAATGAGGATTTAAACCCAGGGAGTGTTGAGCTACACTCCCAGGCCTTTTTATTTTTTTCTGAGACGTGGTCTTGCTAATTTGCTTTTGTTGGTCTTGAACTTGTAGTTCTCTTGCCTCAGCCTCCTGAGCAGCTGAGATGGCAGGTATTCTCCACCATGCCCATCTAACTATTAAATTGAATACTTAAGTCATACACATAAAATGTTATAATTTAAGGACATATTCATCAAAAGGATCAAGATTTCTAACATGAAAGACAAGACTGAGGGGATCCTTGCTGAATTTCACTAAAACTTTGACAATATTTAAATGTTGAGGGGTTTTGCCAATTTCATTTTGTTTCTGCGGTACTAGGGATTGAATCCAAGGCCTTCACACTAAGCTACATCCCCAGCCCTTTTTATTTATTTTTGTTAACTTATTAGACAGGGTCTCACTGAGTTGCCCAGGCTGAGCTCAAACTCATGATCCCTCTGCCTCAACCTCCCAAGTGCTGTTATTACAGGTGTCTACCACTTCTGGCTTTTGCCAGTATTGTTAAAGCAAAAGGTCTAGACTGCTATGCAGACTCTCTTATAGGCCATTGGCTGCTGTGTACTTAGTGTCTGGCACAGTGCTAGATACAGGAGTTTAATAAATGCTTACTAAATACATGAGTGATGATATGCTGGTGCATGCCTGTAATCCCAGCACTCAGGAGGCTGAGGGAGGAGGATCACCATGAGTTCCAGGCCAGCCTGCACTACTATACATAGTGAGACCCTGTCAAAAAACCAAACAAAGGGAGCGGGATTTAGCTCAGTGGTTCCACTGCCTGCCTTGCAAGCGAAAGGTCCTGAGTTCAATCCCCATAACAAAACAAAACAAAATAAAAATACAAACATGAGTAAGGATCAGTTTTACTAAATGGTAGGAAGGGAATAAGATATGGTCTGGGACTTTTCATAATTTGTCCTGACTTTGTTCAAAAATAGGTTAAATTATAACCTGAAATTTGTAACCTAACTTCGTATTTTTGAGAGAGTGGAGACAAATGAGAAATGTCCAGGGAGAAGAATATGGGTTAACATTCTTTTCCTTGTCCTGTATGGAACTTCTGGGTTTTTGTTGTGGTGGGTTTTTTTTCCTTTAGCCCAGGAGTTCTATTTCCAAAGAAAGAGCCAGATGATTCTAAAGATGAGGATGAAGATGAAGATGAAGATGAGTCATCAGAAGAAGACTTTGAGGATGAAGAGCCACCACCTAAGCGAAGGTGTGGATGTGTGGAAAATTCTTGTTGGGCAGGGTAATAAATATTTTAGCAAGGCTTGGTGGTGCATGCACGTTATCCCAGCTACTTGAGAGGCTGAGACAGGAGAATTGCAAATTTGAGGCCAGCCTGAGTGGTTTAGCAAGACCCTGTCTCAAAGTAAAAGAATAAAAAGGGTTGTGGATATAATTCAGTTCAATCCTCAGTACAAAAAAAAAAATCTTAAGAGTATAAAATGATACTGATGCTTCCAGGTCCTGAACACAGAAAAGTATGTTCACTCCTCAGGCTTCTCCTCAGGCTTTTAGTGTAACATTTGAATTTATCCTGTCTTGAAAACTCAGGGGCTCTGAATTTGAAATTTGAAGCAAATTGAATACATAATGCACCCTTTGGTAAAACCTGTATCCATAGTTATTTAAAAATACTTCCATATTTTCCTAGGAAATCTACAGAATTATGGGTAGATTTCTATGAATTGATTGAATTTTTATGCAATTTTAATGAACACTAGTGAAAAACTAAGTCATGTTCCTATTCTTAACATAGGTGAGATCCATGTATGCCATTTCTCTTTAGACAAAGCATTTGATTGTCCTGGCAAAGTCTTTCATGTGCTGAGTGACTGCCTTTGCTTTTGTTTTGTTTTCACAGATTGCAAAAGAAAACTCCAGCCAAGTCCCAAAGGAAAGTGGCACCCATGAAGCAGAGAGGGTCTAGGCCTGCACCTAAAGTCCCAGCTGCTCAGCGGGGGAAAGCTAGGCCCCTGCCCAAGAAACCCCCTCCTAAGGCCAAAACTCCCACCAAGAAAGCCAGACCCTCACCTTCAGTTGTCAAGAAACCTAGTGGTAGTTCTTCAAAGAAGCCTGCAGCCAGTGTGAGAAAGGAAGTGAAATTACCTGGCAAGGGTAAATCCACCATGAAGAAGTCTTTCAAAACAAAAAAGTAAATTTTATAGCAAGAAAGGGTATCATCATAAAATTCAAAATCTTATTTTATAAGGTCAGTGTGCATTTGTTTTTAGTTTTGATGCTTACAAGAATCTTTTTTTCTCCCATATGAACATTGTGGGGAGGGAATATAATAAACCAATTTAGGCATTTGTTAGCTTTAGGTGCTGTTTTTGGTGCCTACCCCTTCCCCAATCATTTTAATTTCTGCAATAATCTGGGGGTCTCCTAAACTATATAATCTGTACTTGTCTTTTTTGCCCCTCCTACCTAACCTCTTTTTTTCTTTTTTTTTTTAATGGTAAGCTTTAGTGTCTGTCATCCCGTCCATTACCCACCCCGGTCCTTTCTGTCTTTTTCCCTCTCTCCCTCTCCTGGTTTTACCTAAACAGTTGTAAAGATTTTTATATTTTTAGAATGCATCAAGAACAGGATGCTGGTCAGGTGCTGGAAGTAAAAAGGAAGCAGTGTAGCACTGACTGAATGGTAAAACCTCCTGCCTGGTGACTTCAGTGATAGCTGTAATAATCTTATTTATAAAAGTTACTCCACTAATCCTCTCTCTCCAACTATGAACAGAGACAACTTTGGAAATAAGCCTAAAACAGTGTAATCACATTTGTTTCTGAAGATGCACGATTCCTTCGGGCCACTTTCCACATTGACCAACCTGAAGGTATTGTCCACTGGCCCAGAGGATTGCATTCCCTTCACAGCAAGCACAAGTTCTTTACACCACTTGGTTCTGACTGCAGGGGAAATACAGGAATATATTGAATCCAGTTTCCAGTGTCACCTGTGTTACTGAAAATCAAAACAAAATCTTGATCAAATGTTTATATTTTTTAATATTTGAAGCATGAGTTGTCACTTACTGTTTGCCTTTTTTATGAGGAAATGTTGGAGAGTTACAAATGTAGAAATGTTAGGTGGAAAAACATACAGTACGCTTAAATAAAATAGATTCCAGATTCATTTATGGATTTTTTTTCCCCCTTTCTTTCCATAGCACTTTTGATATCAAGCAATTGGCTTCCTTTTTGAGCTATTTTAAATAAAAAGAAAAAAAGCAAATGAAGCCCTACTGCCTAACCCATTTTTATTTGTATTTGTTTTAGTATTGTGAAGTTGTGTTAAAATAGTAGTAGCTTTCTACTTGAGAAATACCAATTTCTGGATATCGTTTCTCTTCCCTATGGCACTTGACATTTTCATTGTCTTAAACTCATTGGCATACATCTTCTGGCCCCCTGAGGGCTGCCAGAGGCGAAAGGTGTTTGTTTTATATTCATTCCACTTGCATCGTCAACTGGGATCCCATCTGCAGCTTGAGTGTGGTTGGGAAATGGACTTGAGAAGATTGGGTTGAATTAGATCATAATCATGTGTGATCCCATCATGCACTCATTGAAATTTGTGTTGCATGTAAGGCAGTCTTTCCTGTTGTAAATCTTCCTTTTTTATGTACATATATTTTGAAAAATATGAATAAACATGAAATTTTAAAAGCTGCTGAATTGTAGCTTATATTTAAAAGTTTCTGATACATCCTTAGAAGTAGCTAAGTGCTGCCCTTACAGTCTCTTCTACTGCCAGTGGACACCATCACTTTCCTTTTTAAATACACACTCTAATTCATTTAGTTTTGAATTTATATTGATGTTAAATGATGTTTGTAGATATGTTGAATACTGGTTACTTAATTACTCAAAGATTTTAACAACAAAAAGATTTTAACAAATCATTTTGTATTAATTATTTTTAAGGTCACAGAGTTCAGTCTTTTGTATTCAATGAATGTTTAATGTTCAAATAAATCTTTGGACTGGAAAAAAAATTTACAACATTGCAAAGGATAACAATTACTGAGATTCAGGATTGAACCCAGGGAGTGCCAAGCCACAACGCCAGCCCTTTTTATGTTGAGACAGGATGTCACTAAGTACCCCAGGCTAGCCTGAAACCTGGGATCTTCCTGCCTTGGCCTCATGAGTTAGCTGGGCTTTTAGGTGTGTTGCATCACACCTTAGTTTCTAGAAAGTAATACAATTCTAATTTCTGTGGTACTTTTGGGCAGGTAATGACACTAATAGTATGGATGTTAGGTACCTGTGCTATCAGTTCTCTACTCATCTGGAATCAAAACTTGGGTGATTTTTGCTTTTTGTTTTATGATACTGGTTTTTTAAAGATTTATTGAACCAGATGTGGTAATACACACCTGTAATTCCAGCATTCTGGGAGGCTGTGGCAGGAAAGTCACAAGTTCAAGGTCAACCTGGGCAATTTATTTGTTTGTTTGTTTGGTACTGGGGATCAAACTCAGGTCCTTGTCCTTGCGCAGCAGGCAGCGAAACCACTGAGCTAAATCCCTAGCCCAATCTGGGCAATTTAGCAAGACCCTCTGTCAAAATAAAAAAGTCCGGGGCTGTAGCTCAGTGTGAAGTCCCAAGTTCTATCTCCAGTACTACAAAAATAAATAACTGAATAATCATCTGGTAACTATACACTACCATAGGACAATTTAAGTAGGGTCAGCAGCTTTGATCACTTAAGGTCACTTCCAACTCTGCTGTTCTGTGAACTTCACAAACCCAAGAGGTGATCCAGCAGTCTCCAGCATGGATCACTGGCTTCAGGACTCAGTTAGTGGCCTTTAGTGAGCTTCATACACATTGAAACTACCTACAGGCCACCACTTCTGTGTGTATATGGGGTGGGTACTGGAGATTGAACTTGGGGTGCTCTTCCTTGTTATTTTTTCACACAGTCTCATTAAGTTGCCCAGGGTGGCCTTGAACTTAAAATTCTCATGCTCCAGCCTTACAAGCTCCCTTTGGCAAACAAATGTCAGAAAGTGTTGGGGGAGAGATTGTCAGTTTCTTAACCTACAACAAAGAAAAAATGTCATTGCTGAGAAACTTAAGAGGACAGAAACATCCAACACAGATGGAATTTGATCTTAACCATTCACATGCACTTGAAGCCAAGTCCTGTATAAACCTTAGAAAACAGATACAAGTTTTAATCATCTTTTAGGTATAATTAACAGGAAATTACATGAAAGTAACAGCTAAATAATAACGCCATTTTTTCCCTACCATTCCTTTATTTTTCTCTAGTACTAGAGAATGAACCCAGGACCTTTGCACTGGGCTGCATCTCAGCCTTTTATTTATTAAACTTTGAGGCGGGGTCTCATTAGGTTACCCAGGCTGGGTGTGATCTTTTGATCCTTCTGCCTCTGAATGCTGAGATTACAGTCATGCACCACCACACCTGAACTCCATCATTCCTCTTTTACTTAGTGTTAGCCCTGCTCATGGTTTGCTGATTTTTTTTTAACATTCTGTTATATCTTCTGTGTTTTTGTTTTTTGGTACTGGGGATTGAACTCAGGACCTTGTGCTTGCAAGGCAGGGTTGGAACCACTGAGCTAAATCCCTGGCCCATGTCTTCTGTGTTTTTAATTCATTAAGTTTATTGATAACGTTTTAGGTACACATCACATTCATCTTGGGAATTTGTACCTGTACCTGATATATCTTGGTTCTTGTTTTTTCCCATTCCCTCCCTCCCAGCCCTCCACCCCTTCTTATTTACAAAAGCTTTGTTTCCATTTTTTTCCTTTACTCATATTTTTTATTTCCCTTCTTTCCTCCTTCCCTCCCTACTTCCCTTTCCCCTTTGGACCTTTTCTTCCTATTTCATATTATTTATTATACACTTTGGTCCTCATTTACACTCTCAGTTTCTCACAGCAGAGAAATTATTCGGTATTTACACGTGTGCCCCATTTATTTCCCTTAAGAGTATGGCCTCAATGTCCACCCATTTAGCTATGAATGTCTCAACTTTCTCATTCTTTATGGCTGAGTAGTACTCCATTTTATTTTTTTTTAAATCTTTAGTCACCAGTTGATGGGCATTTGGGCTGTTTCTAAGATTTAGCTATTACAAACTGCCACTATAAACATAGGTATGCATATATCACTGTCCTATGATGCTTTTTTTTTTTAATTCTTTTATTGGTACATTGTAGGTATACAACACAATTACATTTCTCATTGGGAATTGTACCTTTACATAATGCATCTTGGTTCTTATTTTTTCCCCATTCCTAGCCCTCCCTTCACCCCCTCCACCCTTCCCTATTTACAAAGACTTTATTTCCATGTTTTCCATTTCTCATCATTTTTCCTTTCCCTGCTTTCCTTTCCCCTGCCCCTCCCACTACCCCTACCCCTTTGGACCTTTTCTTCCTATTTTACATTATCGATTATTCATTCTAATCATTGGTACATTTTAGGTATACAACATAATGACATTCATCATTGGAAATTTGCACCTTTACATAATCTCTCTTGGTTCTTATTTTTCACCCTTGCCCAGCCCTCCCTTCAACCCCTCCATTCTTCCCTATTTACAAAGATTTTGTTCCTATTTTTCCATTTTCTCATATTAACCCCATTCCCTTCTATCCTTTCCCCTAGCCCTCCCACTTCCTTCCCCTTTGCCCCTTTTTTTCCTATTTCACATTACCTATTATACATTTAGTCCTTATTTACACTTTCAGTTTCTCACACCAGAGAAACTATTCGGTATTTACACGTGTGTCCTATTTATTTCCCTTAAGAGTATTGCCTCAATGTGCATCCATTTAGCTATGAATGTCTCTAATTTCTCATTTTTAATGGCTGAGTAGTACTCCATTTTATTAAAAAACCACATTTTCTTTATCCAGTCTCCAGTTGATGGGCATTTGGGCTGTTTCCAAGTTTTAGCTATTACAAACTGTGCTGCTATGAACATGGGTGCACATATATCACTGTGGTATGATTCTTTGAATTCTTTGGGGAAGATCCCAGCAGTGGAATAGCTGGGTCAAATGGGACTTCCAGTCCTAGTTCTTTGAGGTATCTCCATACTGATTTCCACAGTGGTTGCACCAGTCTGCACTCCCACCAGCAGTGGAGTAGTGGTCCTCTTCCCCCACAGCCCCGCCAGCATTTGTTATTGGTTGATTTCATGATAGCAGCCATTCTTTCTGGAGTGAAGTGGAATCTCAGCGTTGTTTTTAATTCTTTTGAGAAGAATTCTTAGCAGGGGAATGAAATAGTTGGGTCAAATATGACCTCTAATCCTAGTTCTTTGAGGTATCTCCATACTGATTTCCACAGTGGTTGCACCAGTCTGCACTACCACCAACAGTGGAAAAAGGTTACTTTTTCCCCACAGCCCTGCCACCATTTGTTATTGGTTGATTTTTTTTTTTAAGAATGGGAAAAATATATTGAGAGAAAGAAAGCTTCTAAGAGAGACAGAAGGGGGACCAGAAAGTGGGTTGCCATGCTAATGGATTCTTTTATTTATTTATTTTTTTTAAGTAAACTTTTTTTTGGTACCGGGGATCGAACTCAGGACCTTGTGCTTGTGAGGCAGGCGGCGGAACCACTGAGCTAAATCCCCAGCCCTCTAATGGATTCTTAATACCTACTCTAAGGAGCTTGTGAAATTATCTTGTTCAGGCTTACTTTTCCCATCCTGATATGTCGAGTTAAACTATCCATGTTCAGTAACCATACATTTTAGCCAAATAACAGTTTTTCTTTTTGAGACAGGGTCTCACTGTGTATCTCAGGCTGGCCTCAAACTCTCAGTGATCCTGCCTCAGCCTCCTGAGTGCTGGGGTTACACATGTGCAGCACCATGCCCAGCAGAGAAGTTTTAAATATGTAGTGAAGACTTCCTGTTTTGGAATCTAAAAAGGTTTTTTTGTTTTTGTTTTTCTCACTATGTAGTTCAGACTGGCCTTGAACTGTGTAACCCAGGCTGGCCTGGAACTCATGGCAGTCCTACCTCAGCCTCCTGAATGCTGGAATAGGTGTGTGCCACCACACCCAGCTTAAAAGTCATTATTAATCACTACCTCTCTGGGTTAAGCAAAAATTCTAATTTTATCTGGGAGAGAGTAGGAATTCTGTTCTTATTTGGAAAAATATTATTAACCTATTCCTTCAGAGGTTCTGTCATTTTCCCTCTTGGAAAAATGTTCTATTTTTGATGTTTTAAATTTGTCTTAATAAAGTAATAGTGTTAGCTTTCCATTACTGTGACAAAAGATTTAGGGTATCAGCTTATGAGGAGGAAAGGTTTATTTTGGCTCCATTTTGGGTCTGTTGTGCTTGGGGCCATGGCAAGTGGTACTTCATGGTTGAAGCATATGGCACAGGAAGCTGCTCGCCTAATGGCAGCTAGGAAGCAAGAAAGGGGGTGGTGTTCCAATATCCCCAAAGAGCACCCAGTGACCTTTCACTAGGCAACACAGGCTTCTGGGGGACACATAACCAAGCCATAGTACTTTATAAATCGTAACATTCATTGATAAGAGCTAATATTGATTGAATTTCTGCCATGTGTGGCTCTGTACATATATTATCACATGTAATCCTGTAACGTGGTGACATGAGTATAGTTTATTGTCCCCATTTTACAGAAAGAAAAACAGGCA